TTCATTAGTAGATGATAACAACTGTCACTTCTATAACGCTCCTAATTGCACACCTATTATCTGATTAATGATCAATGTTTTTATTGTCGATAAGTAGGAAGTAGTTCTTGTTTGTATTAAAATTACATTACTGCGTGAACAAAATTTTTGAAATAATTTTTTAGAACTAAGCATGTGTTGTAGATTTTTTTCTTTGATTCTCAAGTTACGTCTGCATGCTTTCTGCATGAAAGTTAAAATAAATTCAGATTAACTATTTGCGACAGAGTCCTAGACCAACGTACTTTCCAGATTATATGCCAAGATCACAACCACTGCTTTGTTTTCTTAGCAGCTTTTCGATTAATGAAAATACATAACAAAATCTGATTCTTAATTAAATACTAAAATATTAGATAAACTTTGCAAAACTTTTTCCGACTTTATTGCAGAATTAGAAATATTTATGAGTATTTAACGGCTAGACGATTTTCAAAAATAATAAATTAAATCCCTGCAACAAACAATTCAAACTTGAAAAGCATTTTGTGAAACTATCAGCGGTAATTTATTTTGCTGGCTTAAACAAAGTTAACAATCTGAAGACTTACAAGAATTTTAATTTCAAAACTTAAAAGGCTATTTCATTTTTTAATAAAAACCAGCCTTACTATATAATGACTCAACGAGAAAATTATCATGTTTAGTAGTTTTTGCCAGTTTGTGAAGTCAAACATTCATTTTTGAAATCTTTAAAATTTGTTGTAAGAACGTCTTACTTACTGTAATGCTCAAAAACAAGTGAAATCTTCATTTATCTACTGCAATTATATATCTTTACTTGGTAAATTGGTAGGTCTTTCAGGGCTTTACCAAAAAGCGGATTTTTGCATATCGTTAGCCGGTAAAAACCACTTGTTAGCCACAGTTATTTACTTCATTCGCAGAGCTTAACTAAACAGCAGTCTAATCCTTGATTGAAAATTGCTAGGCTACTTCAAAATTTAGAGAAAAACTGTTACAGATACTTAAAATAAGCTTCTCAAACTCTGAAATTTTAAAAAATGTTCTGAAAAAGCAAAGCTTTTATTTCTGATATTAGATTCCTGACCGCTTCCTTAGCATCCTTGACCAGGACTTAAACAGAGACGATATTAGGAGTACCCAATGCTGGTCGAGCCTCTATCGTATATGGTTTTTGCAACAACCAGCAACTGGAAGTCACTTGCAGAGACAACTGCGAGTTGCGAAAAGGATAGCGATGTTAAAATCAACATATGTCTTCCTTAATTTTATTCCGTTGACCATGTATATTGTTGCATTACGTTTCTAATATTTTATTTGCCTCCTGCTGCTGTTTGTACTTTAATTATTATCTACTGTTATGTGTTTTAACTCAAAAAAATTCTTTTGTTCGTTTCTTATGTGTTTTAGCTTTAACATTTAATAAAAAGTTTATACCAGTAAATCACTTTAAGTTTACGCCTCTTATTGTATACCATCTGCTACTTCATCATTTTCAATTATGGAGCTTAAGAATAAAGTAGTACGTCCTGACACAGTACTCTGCACTTTAAGAGTAAAAAATTTCAGTGACTAATTTTAAATGCATGTTATAAACTTTCATTTTTAGAGTTCTTTATCTGAAAAGAAAGAGAACACGCTTAAAAATGGTAGAAGTTTTTGTTATGATTTCCCCAAATGCATATACTCTGCTCTACAGATCATTATACTTGCCTTGAGAAAAATGTAAGTTTTTAGCCTTTGGTGAGCATGTCTTATCTAGGCCTATAGAAGGGCTGCCCTATTCGTTTTAAGAGTTAGTTATTATTCAACATTCTGTTCTTACTTCTTTTATTACTACCCCCTTGTTCCACCAATAAAATCCTCTTCGCATATTCGTCTTAGACACCACGCGGGTCATAACAACTGGCGATCATGATAAGATGGCCAATTCCCAATTCGAACCCAGGCCACGCTTCATTACTCAAGCTTTAGACTTTTCGATCCATCAGTTGATGATATTGAGTCTTGGCTAGCCAGGTTTGATGTTTTCATCACCATTTCTCAGGAAGAAGATCGTCTGAAAGGGTTCTATTTGCTTAACGCTTTGTCTTCTAATGCACACCATGTGCTAGCAGCGTTTGCAAAGCCTGCTGAAGCGACGACTTTTACTTAACAGGTTTCGTGCGCAAAACTGCTTGACATGTACGCAGCAAAGAAGTCATCATTTTTAGAGCGTTGCCATTTTTTTTATTTGAAGCAAGAGTCTCATAGCTAAGTAAGATAATGGAGCGTAAAGTATCAAAATTCAAAGCTTCAGAACTCTTTTATACAGAACCGCAACTATGGTGAATTCCAGACCGTTAACTCACGTTTATGCTGAAGAAACATTTACTAAAATACGCCCTATGGATTTTTTTACAGTGCAGTGGCCCAACTGACATTGCACCGGTTGATCCACTGTTCAGTTGGTATTGCCCTTGACAATTTGGATTATTTCTCTTTGCAGGAGCAGAGGGAATTGTTCACTTTGTACAAGGAAAATACGACACTTAGAAAAAACTACTGGCACTCATTTGAGGGCGAATATTTGTCAAGTCTTAAAGAGCGCAAAACTTTAGTATACAAGAAACGAAGACAAGGTGAACATCATAAATTGGTGACGTAATGCTTGTCAATGAGATTGGCCTGAGGCGAGGAGAGTAGACGTTGGTGAGAATTTTAAAAATTAAGGCGTGACATGAGCAAATAAAGGACGCTACAGTCACTTTATCGACGCATTGAACGGCTGTCGTCTTGGTTATATCCAGTAGAGTGTACTACAGTACAAGAATTTTTAAAATCTTTTAGCCCGTATCTGGAAATCAAGTTCCCTTTTCATTTCTACCTTTCCAGTTGCAAAGTTTGCTACATTTATTAAACTTTCATCTTAAATTTAAATTTTTGGTAAAAAAATTACGTTATTTATTTTAAATATAGTGCTTAAAACGTTATTGTACTCGTAGAATTTAAATTTTTGGTTTATTCGTTCTGCACATTCTTCTTTTGTTTTCTTTTCTGAAATTAAGCTTACTCAATAACCGTTTTTCTTTTAATATTAATCTTCTTTTTTGACTTACTCTTAGTCAATTTTAAAATTTTGTATGTTCCTGAATTTCATTTTTATTTTAATTTCAAACTTTCCCAACTTTTTTAGTGCATGAAATTTTCGGGTTCTGTTATTTAATTTTTCAAATCTTTGAATCAAACGCCTAATTTCTTGTCTAATCATTTTTAGTTGCAGAGTTATTTTAAATTTTTGTTTTGTTTTTATAGAAACATGTTCGCTGAAATTTTGGTTTTTTGTTTTACTTCGCGTTTTTTACGAGTAGGATCGTATTTACTCGGTTTAAGTTTTGACACAACTTTTTTTTAAGTTGCGACTCATCCTAAATTCTTTTTTGTTACAAGTTACACGCTTTAAATCAAGTGTTTTAAATGGTTTTGTGTTTTTCTTTTCAAGCACATTTTTTACTTTGGTATTACTAATTTTTGAAGGGAGCATTTCCAGAGTTTTATTCTGATAATCTTGATATGTCTATCCTATAATGGTTGAAGGGTATCCTACTTTTGAAGGTTGGAATCTACGTCGTAACCGAGGTGAAGCGAGGATATATTACATTAGTATTAGACGTAGACAACCAAGAAAATGAGAGTCTATTGTAAGGAGTGTCAGTTGTCTTGCGATTCAAAAGCAAACAATCACTGAATTTTATGGATCTGGTGTTAGTGCGATAGTATCAATTATGTAGTGTGGGAGGTAAACAGGCAACGTTGCCTTTCTATGGTCAAGTAACTGTCAAGTCGTTTCTATTAAGGGCCAAGCTTAGAGCGTCTACACGAGCAAGTGATTACACGATTATTTTGCAAGCAGAATCCTTTTTGACACCGGCAATTTTTCAGTATTCCAAGAGTGAGCCTCTGACTGTTTCCACCTCTGCAAAAGGATTGTTCGGTGAAGAGCGAATTAACAAAGAGCGACTTTATATCAAAAACTAACCAAGTATAGGGCAAATCTTGGCAGCAGAGGTTGTAGCATTACAGTAAGAAAGTCTCATATTAGAGACGGAGTATCAGAATGTTTTAAGTACATGTGTTACTTGCGTTTCAGGAGGTGGAAGACGGGAGTTAAGTCTTAGTACGTATTGAGTTTGAGTAAAACATGGTTCTTTACATGATTCTTCTCATTTCACGTGTTATTTGAAATAAATTGTTGCTTTGACCTAAATAATATTTTTTTTTTTTT